CTTCGTTCTTGCTGTACTGGTCGAGCAGCGACCGGCAAGAGTTATTTGCAAATCCATATCTGTCGTGTTTAGCGGCCAAAGAAATTAAATTTAAAAATAGAACGATCTTTTGTTCTGCCATGGCAACCAAAGAGGTAACTTATCAGAGGTTTTATTTAAATTTCGAACTGGCAAGCACTTGAAAGCTGTTTAGTGAAAAAAAAACTTTAGCTCGGTTCTGACTATAAAAATTCATTTCGCATTGCTTAAGAAAAGTTCTATAAAAGCCTTGGCCGAAACTAGGTATTGATGGACACAGGTATGTCTTTAAAGCCAAGTTTTGCCGGCCTATTGCTAAATAGTGGGATGGTTCTTTGTACTGACATTTAAGCATAATTATAAGACTGCTTTTTCGAATGAGTAAACATAAGTATCAGTTTTTAATTATTGAACCACTAGCGACATCTAGCGTATTATTAGTAACGATTGGAGCAAGCCACTCGGCTAGCCAGGCACGTTCCTCTCATTAATGTAATGAGAGGCTGAAATTAATTGATGCAACTGTACAGCGATGTCTCGATTCGTAATTTCGACTGAAAATTATTTTTCATTTCATGATAGACTAGTTCTGTCAGCAACTTCGTCCGCGTAGAATTGTTATTTTGGGTATCTAAATTTGTGTTTGCAAGCCTCCTCTTCATTTAAAGAGGAGTTATTCTTTCATACACATTTTTTGGGTATCTTGATGGATAATTTCTCCCATCTTTTCCACATTTTCCACAATTTCTTCGCTCCCCTTATTCACAGCGATTTTTATAGCATATATCATTAACGATAAACGCTCTAACCAAAAAAATATTTTTTCAATTCGAACGAGTAGTTCCTGAGATTAGCGCGTTGGACCTTTTTTGGCTTTGGATTTGGATTCGGAAATCTAGAGACTGAAATTTTACGTCTTTTTTATCTGTAGTCGGTGGTCCGTTACCTGGTCGGAATTTTTATATTCCAACCATTTAATATCCAGATTCCAAACTATGTTTTAGAAAAAAAAAAAAAATTGATTATAAATACGTTGTACCCAGTTTGAATCGAACCGACATTGCAAGGAGCCTGTCGAGCTTGGATTTTTTAAATATTATTTAAAACATTACAATAGAGAATTGTATCCATACAAAAATAAGAACGGTGTGTAATATTATTTCATTATTCATCGTTTGTTCTGGCGTATGTTTTTTTAATATTCTTGTTCACCTAGCAAAACAAACCCATCGAAGTTTTACTAGTGATTTTTGTGTGTCCAATATCCCTCGTACCTTCTGTATTTGACTAATTAGTACGCGGTTACGGAGGGTAGGCCGATAAATAGGTTAACGGTTTCAGCCGTTTTCTATATATTCACCTCACGTCTTTACAATCAAGCGTCATGCTGACCTAATGTTTGCTCCTAATTTACCCTACTGACCATTTACGAGTATATATATAACGGTATGTTGGCAACATCGATATTTTTTACGGTGTGGGTAGTCATAAAACTAACAGACTTACTTTCACAATAAGTAATTGTACATATAGCCACACGAGTGTACTTGCACACACTACAAAAATTCAATTAGCTACTCATATAAACAAACATCAATTAAAATTTAGCATTGTAGCAATGTCACTCCCCGTGCCTACGACTGCGGCAAAGCGTCCGAAACATCGGGCCGTAGTTTAAATTAAGAATTAGTATTTATTTCATGTTTCAAACCGTTAAAGATTTTTATCTAAATGTGGACTAGCGTAAGCTACAGGCAATATAACACCCGGTAAAAAATATCCGGGTTCATAATGGAATCTTAAAGCAATATAAAGATTACTAGTCCATTCTACACTATTTATCATCAATCGTAGATTTGTATTTGAAATTGGTTGTGTATTTGTAATTTATTATTCATATGTAAGTTCTCATACTGTTCTTGTATACAATACACAATTTTTATCAAGAATTGATTAGCACAAGGGTTGAGATTTATTTCCCTCATTTCTAATTCACGATAAGTGTCTATCCAGAATGTTCTTTTGTAAGTAAAAGATGTGACACAGCATGATAAGCTAGATTTAGGTGTGAAATATCTCTATAAATTTGCTTGGATACCTAGGATTGCTGGACAAATTCATTGAGCCAAATTTAATGTGGTTAGAACAGTATATTAAAAACGGCAGCCATTTTTGTATGATAGAGAAGGACAGATAATCACGTGGTTCACTTGATAAAAAGCGAAATACCCCAGCCATACAACAAATAAACAAGATGCGCTATCAGCCTAGTTTTGGGTTTTAGAAATCAGGAATCCACAGACTGAAACCAAAACGCGATTAAACTTCATCTGTTCGGGCTATACCTGAACGGAATTTTTCTCACCACATATTTAAAAGCTTCTAGAAGTCAACGTGTTTCAGAAAATTTGAAATAGATTAGAATTTAAGACCCGGTTGGGGAACGAACCCACGATCCGTTAATTTCAACTATTTTATACTATATTGCTAACAATAGACCAACGAGGCCGTTAATTCCAATAAGAAATCCATAGAAGTAAATTTGCGGAAGCCACAGACTATATATATACAGCTATCTTAGTAAACATATTTTACTTTTTATAACAGAAACAGTAAAACGGATTCCGTATGCTCAAACACGTAATCTTGAGACAATGCATATTTCATCGTAATATATGCCTTATTACAGCAAAAAGCTAAGAATCCAAGCTATGTTTTCGCTCTTACAATTAATTCAAAGTGTAACTGTATGTCGCTTAATGTATGATACCGTTTCACTTATTGCAAAATGATTGGCCGTTTTGATGTTGTAGGCGGTCTTAGATTATAATTTCTAATCACATGTTATCTTAACTTCAGTTTCTTGATTGAAATTTATCATTAAAGTACATATTTATGATTACTTGTGAACACTTACTAATACCATTTTTTTTAACTTAATAGTGTAATATGTTATTAATATAGTTAGTGAGTAATTGTGGTGAAATCTAGTATTTCCATCTTGAGTACAAAGTTTTTTTTCCCCTTTTTTTCCCCATTTTCCCCCCCTCTTAGCGGCGGCGCGTAAGCCTTCCTTAATTAATGTTCTAACCAACACAAAATTATTTTTTTCAATTTGAACCATTAGTTCCTGACATTAGCGCTTTCAAACAAACAAAGAAATTCTTCAGCTTTATATATTAGTATAGTAGTGTATATTTCCGTTCTCTTCGTCACATTACTCAGTCCGATCGAATCTAAATAACATCCCACAATGTGTTAAACTACGGAGCCCTATAAGGGGTTTGGTAGTCAATGTAATTAACTAGGATTAAATTCTAACTGGTTCGATCAAAACAAAAGCTTACGTAATTATACATCACACTTATCTAATTTCGCGAGAGCCATATTATTCGGACTCTTAAACAGACATTCAAACTCCGCGACTGAGATGTTGAAACCAATTCCCGACAAACAAACATAAAACTCGCATTTGAAAACATTTCAAAGTCCGCGAGAGATACAGAAGCAAAGAAACAGAGTATTAATTTTATATTATAACTTCATTTACTCGTTCAAAGGACTATATAATTTTATTAAGCCGTGTATCTTGGTTTCGCTATTATAATGAAAACATTCGTTTAGGCTCTTTGCAGACTAACGACAATTGTATTTCAGGCTTTGTATTAGTCTGTATCTTGCTACTTAAGAATTCGTTTTAAAAACACCGTTCTATATGAGACCGCATCCTAACAAGATACCGAATTCCACGATACCGTTAAATGTACATTTGCGGTGGTTCGTGTATGAACAACATGATTACAAATTGATATTATAGCGCTATACTGTAATCGTAATTATCAGTTAATCCCATAATTAACTATTAATTACGCTTTAGTAAGATATTGCTTTCGGAACACGATGCCGCGAGAGCCATCATAGTAAACATGATTACATCGTTAAGTATTTGCGCAGGCGTTATTTAAGTAAATATATACATAATATTAAAGCAGAAATAAGTTTCGCATATCCATTGTTTTTCGGGCTGTTCGGCCGATGTGAGCGAGAAAGCGATATACTTTGTGATAATCCGCTAATTATCACAAAGTACATAATTTACAACCAAAAATAAGTAATAAAAAAGAAAACTTACGATTAAAAGAATACAAAAAAAAAGTATATTTTTTACTTTGTGCATCAAGGCATCAAGACTCAGCATGTGCTCAGCAGGGCTTGCTAAGCGCTGATTTTCAGTCTGTCAGATAACAAGTAGTACTAAAACATGTAAATATTGTGGAAAAGTTGGAACGAACTTAAAAAATTATAATCATGACATATTTTATATCACAAAGAAATAATTCTTCGAGAACGAGATGATTGGTCCTCCTATGATGCCGTCCGCTTATGACGAAACGCCGAGAACTTCTCGCTCACGTCCGCCGAACAGCCCGAAAGACATTGATATGCTGAACGATGGCCGGAAAACCTATGATAATTTATTAGAAATTAGTTTTTTTTTGTAAGTCTTATACGCTGTAACTAAGCATCTAATTCACTAGATTTAGCATTCGGTTTTAGTTACTATCAAGGGCGGTGCCAGTTTTGGCACCAGTCACATAGACTCTGTCAATTCAAGAATCTTCAATTTAATTTTGATAACAGAAGATACCAGTAAAAAGTAGGTATTTTATTAATGTCTGTAGAATCACGACAAACGGACAGACAAACATATTATTTAATATTTTTTTGACGAATCTAAATAATGTTTATAATTTTACAGAGAATAAAGTATATTTTATTTTATTCTATTATTTTAATGTATAATAAAATAATTTGTAAATAAATCAATATATTAAATTATGGTCCACCTTAGTCGTAAAACCCTCCTCATGACCGACCTCCTCTGGATCCGTCGGTAGGTACTATTATACATATTATACCATATACGGTAGGTTAGCACAGCTACAAGTAAATATTTGGTATATAGATTCTCTTCCTTCCAGATCCACCATCGGCGCCCATGATCACAGGCTACATACCAGGGACCACTCTGGCTGCTGGGACGGTCCAGAAGTTGTCATGCATATCCACTGGTGGAAATCCACTAGCCACGCTCACTTGGTTCAAGAATGACAAGAAGGTATGTCTTAGTTGCTTCAAGTGTCAGTTTTATAAGATAGTTTTAGTAATATCGGAAGCTTACTACCAAAAAAAAAAGATATATTAAGTCTTCTTCAGATAGCTGCAGATTTTTTGACATCTACTGCATGAAATTCTGACGCCATAATGTTAATAATTACAATACCGAAACAGCTTGTCTGATCTCTGTGCTTGAAAATTGGAATAAAAATTTTCCATCCTAACATATTTAAAAAATGTTTTAATGTTTGAAAATTTTAATATTTTTCACATGTAATTTCACATGATGGCACTATATAAATTAAAAATAAATTGAAAAAGAAAGAGCAAGAGCAACAGCACGGAACGCTGACGATGCCGGTTCAAGTCCTGCCCGAGTCGAAAATATTTTCAATTTATTTTCGATTTTTTTTAATTATATAGTAATAATTTGTTATTTTACTTCATCGTTCACAGCGCCGCATGCCACTTATATACATCTTTACACAAACAAGTCGTATTTTTCACATTAGAAATTGTCTAGAAATAATTTATATGACTATATGATATATTAAGTTATTTATTACCTACCTGTATTGAGTATAAGGAAAAAGCCATTTGAATTACTGTACATAGTACATACATACATGTGGGCAGTTAATATTGCATTTTAGCCCCGTTCCAGAAAAAACCTATTACAAAAGTTACGTGTCGCGTGTACACTGTACAGTACTTGTGAATTAAAATTACTTTTGCATGTTGATTGGTGACCGAATGTTTGTGAGCTATGTTTGCGTAAGATAATTACAATTGTGTCGCAATTACTGCCTCGTAGATGCGAAAAATGAATATTGACGTAACGACTTATTAACTACATGATACGAGTAATGGAAACCGGTTGTATATTTAATTTTGTTTACTGAGAAAATGCCTGATGTTTTGTTTCCCGTACTAAACGGTAATATAAGTAAATGTTATGTGCACGGTTTGGTGTAATGGTAGAAATGTATAGCTAGTAATAAACGGGTCTTGGGTTCGATCCCCACCGATCTATAGATTTATAATTATTGGAAAACATGTTGGACTTGATCTGGAAATCTGGATATGAAAGGGGTTTTAAACCGAAATTTCCCCCGGGTTAAAAACACCATTCCACAGATGCATCAAGTTTAATCGCATTTCGGTTTCAGTCCGGGGATTTCCGAATATCCAAAGCCAAAATAAGTCGACAGCACATCTTTGTGTTGAGATATTTAATTTTCACTTAATGATATCCCCATGGTATTTCCTCCACTATCATAAAAAATCATCTAGACTTACGAGAACAAGTTTCAATTTTAAAGACAAATACAATTTTACACTAAAGCTATTAAAAATACGGTAATCATTCTATACACCTCTTTTATCGATATATAAAATTATTCTAAGATTCTTCGGAATGTGTATTTGTAACGTGTTTATATTTCAACAGATCCACTCTGTCACGAAGACGACGGACAAAATGGTCTCGTCCGAGATATCCATACTCACCAACGTCACGGACAACCAGGCGCAGTACCGCTGCGAGGCGACCAACTCAGCCACCGAGATCCCTCTCTTTGAAACTGTCACTTTAAACGTACACTGTGAGTATAACTTTTTAAATTTGCCATAGTAAAAACAGCCGGTAGGGTTCCGTGTCTATAAATGACAAAAAAACGCGTTAGGTGCAAGGGAAATTTCAACTCCTTTAAATGTATTTAATATATATGTAAATAATAAACACTGTCGTAGTACACATTAAAATAAAAACACTTTAACGGTTTATAACGCGATATATTAGTTAAACTTATTTGATAATGATTTTTAACTCCGGCCCGACGTTTCGGATGCTTTGCAGCAGCCGTGGTCACGGGGACAATCAACGAAAATTTGAAGCAGTCGTGGTCACGGCTGTTGCAAATCATTATCAAATAAGTTTAACTAATATATCGCGTTTTAAACCGTTAAAGTGTTTTATTTAAATGTGTACTACTCGCGTCAACTATAGACATTATTAAAGTTTAATTCATATATTCCACGTTTTAAATCGTTTTAGTGTTTTATTTAAATATGTAATTTATTTTAAAATAATGTAACTTATTTTTAAAATAAAAAATCATTATCCAATATTCAGTAAATATTTAAAAATGTACGATAATGTCATGAACTGTTTAACCGACCTAATAGTTCGAAAACTCAAGTTAATGACTAACATTTTTGATGTAGAAATAAATATTTATTATATTTTTGTATTTTCTACCAGAACTATCTCGGTTATATATACCTACTGCCTGGTAAGACGGTCGAAGTAGTTTTAGTATAACTATTTTAGTATACGGAACTCCAGTTCAACCCTTTTCTTAGGGAATCCTAAAAAATAAATTGTTCTCACGAAGTTTGCTGTTATGCTATCCTGTACACTAATTTATCGTCAGTGTTTTTTCTTAAGTGTAATCCGCTTAGTAGTTTTTGAATAAGTTTACTAATATATAAAGCTGAAGAGTTTGTTTGTTTAAACGTTGGTTCGAATTGTTTTTTTTTATGTTGGTTAGAACGTTTATTGAGGAACACCGGGCTGGGAAGAAACGGCGGGCAATATGGAAAAAGCGGGGAAAATGGGGTTGCGTACGCTGCGAAAGCGGTATACTAAAAAAAATATGTATCGAAGAATGATTCCTCTTTAAATAATCCAAAAAAAGACCATTAAAAAAACAAAATTGGATGCCCAAAATTCATGTACATGGACGAAGTCGCTGCCGACACAACTAATGCCTTATATATCACAGAAAACATGATGAAAATCTTTTCCGGTTTTTCGTCGTCGTGTTTTCTTTTCCAGGCATTTTTCCTAAAAGAAACTAAATACATTTAAGAAGAAATCAATTAGCTACCAAACTTGATAACTAACGATTTCACTTACATTACAACTTCGCAAATTAAATTCTCTAAGTTAAAAGTTACGGATGGAGTTTAATCAATGCGAGATCTCTAGAACGAGCATAGTTTCCTTACATTAAAATATTTCGATAGAGCGCTTCGATTCAACTTAATATAAATCGTTTTATTATAGATATTACGGACTAATAACTGCAATTTTATGCAGCATTGTTTGATTGCAATAATCAATGGATTGCAGGTTCGATTCTGACTGGTAAAATTATAGAAATTCCGTCCCGGTCACAAACCACCGTCCACAGATAAAAAAGCCGTGAATCCTATTTTGACTGCAGTCTGTGGATTTCTGAATACCCGAAGCTAACATCGACAGGGCATCTAGATTACACGCCCGTGAAACATATTTCATCGAGTCAACTCTATAGCTGTCTGTCCACCCCTATTAAAAAAATAAGAAATAGACCAAATTCTGTGCCCTGTCAGACCGAAAATGGTTTTCCCGGGACATGAATCCAGGATCATTAACGCAATGCCAACATTAAGCGATGTACAAAAATATTGATCATTGATTTTTGTGTACGTTTCAATTCATGTGTAACATTTGATCTGGTTATTTGTGTAAATCCAGAACAAGGTTGAACGAGTACTGAATGATTAAAAAGGACGTCTTTGAATAGGACAGTACTATTCGTAATTATTGTCTTGTTTATCCCTAATCCCGGAATCTCGGAGATTTGATTCTGCTCCCGAGTTTCGCAGTGATACATTTTGTATGAGCATTATTAGCATCTTGATTACCGAGTCTCTTTCAGTTGTTTCGGAATTGCAACCAGCTAGTAATTTGTATCATCTTTGATTATACGATATATTGTTAAATATTGTGCCTATATACAGTTACAATGGTTAAATAACACTTTAAGTATTGTCTGTATTTAAATAATACACTTTGACAGGAACATTTGATGGAAGGAAATACTCCAGCCACATAACATCTCAACAAGATGCGCTGTTGACCAAATGTGTCTTTGGATATTCGGAAATCCACAGACTGGAAACTGAAATTGTGTGATGATTGATGATGAGTGATGGTTCGTTACCCGTACGAAGTTTCAACAGTCCTACCACCTATTTAATATAAAGATTTCCAAACGTGGTCAAACATGTTTTAGGAAAATTATAAATTGATTTAAAATATGTTGGACCCGTTGGAGATCGAACCGACAACCCGTTGATTTTTGGCGTTACATTGCTACCGTTGCACCAACGAGCCCGTCAAACAAATATTTCACGTTTTGAACCGTTAAAAGTGTTTTACGTAGTTTTTAAGCGTTATAAACAACACTTCCAGTTTTATATGTATATATAAGTAATACGTATATAAAGATCGAAGTTATTTACTAGTTTTTTTCTTCTGCAGTCGCACCAGAGGCCGTGAAAGTTAGAGCTGAACCAGACGAGCTGCGGCCGGGTATAGAAGCTACGCTGTTTTGTGACGCGGCCAGCAGCAACCCACCAGCTACGCTTTCGTGGTGGCGCGATGGAATACCCGTCCAAGGTTAGCAATACTGCTTTTGCTTGAAAGCTTTATAATTTTGCATATATTATGTCATTGCACATGCTGTTTTCATACAAATTAATAAAATAAAAAAGGCCTTTATTTCCTTAAAAAAACTTTAATGTAAATTAATGGAATATTTTAAAATTATTTTAGATTGTTTGAAAGGTAAATTACCAAATAATTTTTTATAAGGAACCCTGTTGTCGGCTGTAGGCCTCTAAAAGTATATCGTGCGTCTCGATTTTGGTTGATTGCTCATATGTATTAAAAATCTATTCAGCTTGGAAAGTATGGCTTCTTGCTATATCTTTTTAAAACAGTATTGCTTATATTAATCGGCCTATTATGGTCTACCCAAAAATTAACTATGGTTTTTAATGATTATGATATCTTAAAAATTCTAAACTTTTTCCTTTATGGAAATTTTTTTTTTTTTTTTTTTTTTTTTTTTTTTTTTTTTTTTTTTTTTTCTTTTTTTTTTTTTTTTAAAAAAAAAAAATTTTTTTAAAAAAAACCCCCTTTTTTAAACCCCAACCCCCCCCCCCCCCCCCCCCCCCCCCCCCCCCCCCCCCGGGGGGGGGGGCCCCAAAAAATCATTTTCAAATAAGTTTAACTAATATATTGCGTTTTAAACCTAAAGTGTTTTATTTAAATGTATACTACTCGCGTAAACTATAGACAGTATCTAAAACAGTCAGTCTCACTTATGTTTGTGAATCATGCTAATATGGCTCTCTTCCCAGGTCTGCCGATGAAAATGAAGAAAGGCCTGCACGGCGGCACAGTGTCGACGATAGAACTCAAGTTGACAATATCCAAGGACCTGAACGGCGCAGTATACACTTGCCAAGCTATGAACGAAGCGATACAACGGAGCGTACACGATGCCCTCACTTTGAAAGTCCTCTGTAAGTAATTTGATCATATTTAATCTAAGCACGAGTACGGCGTCGTGTGAAAGACGATTTAATAACTTTGCCGATTTATCCTCTTATTTCTCGGCTCTTATCTAAGTTATTGCGCATAGCGCTTGTGCTTTGAACTCTTGTATGTTTATTTCGAAGAGCCTCACGAACTAAATACATACAAGCTCAAACTAAATATTAAAGAAGATATAACGATTTTATATTTGAATTGAAGGTATGCACAAAATTGGTTAAGAAGGTAAGATTTACAATATATGAAAGGAAACTTAAATGCGTAAATATAATAATATTATGAAAAGACACAATTTTGAATTTATGAAATTTGGAGAAAGCTTTGTCTTGTCTATTTTAAAAATGGTTCTATATAAATGCATAATTTTTAGTGTCAGAGCATTTGTTAATTTCTAATGAGTTAATCATTTAAATAAAACACTTTACGTAAACATGTCCTCCCCGTGACCACGGCTGCAGCGAATCCGAAACGACGGGCCGAAGTTAAAAATCATGTTCAAATAAGTTTAACTAATATATCGCGTTTTAAACCGTTAAAGTGTTTTTTTTAATGTGTACTACTCGCGTAAACTATAGACAGTATTTTTTTAAGTTAATCATATTAGTTAAAAGTGAAAGATTTTTAGAAATATGTGTATAATATAGGATTTAATAATAAATGCCATCAATAATAACATAATAATTTAATTATATTGTCTAGATGCCCCAATCTTCGACGAGACGACGCAGACGACAGCAGTGGGCGTCGAACATGAACAATTGATTGTATCGGTTCGCGCTGAGGGAAACCCTGCCAGCATCACTTACACTTGGACGAAAGACGGACTGCCTATCACGCATTCCTCGTATAGCACATCCAGTAAGTGTCCGTTGAATTTCCACATAGGTTTAACATCATCTGTATGATACTAACTACTTTTTTCATGATACTGCACATGGTGGCACTGTATACATTAAACATCGATTATAAATCTTAGAAATACGTTTAGAAACAATCGCTTTGAGCGATAGCACATAACGCCGTGGGTTTCGATTCAAGTCCTGTCTGTGTCCAAGTTTTTTTTTTTTCAATTTAAATTGGAGTTTTAATTGATACTAACTTGTCACGTTAAATATTACATAACCCCGACGACGAAAGTGGTAAAAATCTATACTAATGTTATAAAACTGAAGAGGTTGTTTGTTTGAACCCGCTAATCTGGGGAACTACTGGTCAGAATTGAAAATGTTTATGTTCGATAAACCATTTATCGAGAAAAACTATAGGCTATGAAACCTTAGGCTGCAACCAATAGAAGCGAAGAGGCATTTTGAAAAAGGAACGGGGAAAATTAATTAATGAAAAGGTCTTTTGCCTTCTGTTGCGTGTGCTGCAAGAAAGGTTGAAAAAAACAAAAATTATTCTAAATCATTCTATTATGTCTACCTTTTAAGTTTAACTCGCAAAGTACCTTCTTTATGGTAATTAAGTTTAGTCGATATTAATGCAATATTATCTTTTTATTTCTCATTTCTACATGCAAAGGTTGCCTGGAAGAAATCGCCATAGGCGATAAGGCCGCCTTTGCACAAACATGTTTTATTTTTAAATAAAACACTTTAACGGTTTAAAACGCGATATATTAGTTAAACTTATTTGAAAATGATTTTTAACTTCGGCCCGACGTTTCGGATGCTTTGCAGCAGCCGTGTCTCCCGTGACCACAGCTGCTGCAAAGCATCCGAAACGTCGGGCCGAAGTTAAAAATCATTTTCAAATAAGTTTAACTAATATATCGCGTTTTAAACCGTTAAAGTGTTTTATTTAAATGTGTACTACTCGCGTAAACTATAGACAGTATGTTTTATTTTGTACAATTCTATGTATCCATGTTTTTATTATTATTAATTATTTATTAGATTAGTTAACACAGATAAGGATATAGATATATTCAGGAGCAAGCAAAGCACATTCAACATTAGGTTTATATAATTATTTAAGTTTTTTTTTTCTTACCATGCCATTTTGTACTCTTTTAGATTTTTTTTTTCTCTTTTTAATTATTATAAATATTTCTTTAAATTAATTATCACTTATTCATAGATAGGAAGATTCATAGTTGTATAATATATATTTGTACTGTCATAGTTACTTAAGTCTGAAATAGTTAATTACGCATAATTTTTAGTTATATATGAACTTAATGTAATGTTGTACGAATTTTAATAAATAAATAAATAAACATAAGAATATTAATCTTGGAAATAACACGTTTGCTGGATTATAACACTATATATAAAATTCGCTAACTATTCTTCAAGACGAAAACTTGTAATAATTATGTCAATGAAATTTTGTGGAACTTTTCAACGTATATGGAACCAATTTACCAATCAGTATGTACATAAAATAATAATTGACCGTAACCTTACAATAAAAGTATAATTAGAAATAAATATTATTCCTTCTTCGAAGTCTTAACGCCTAAGCAGCGCTGAAAATGATTTACAAAAGGAATAGCTGAGGCGAATGTAAATTCGAAACGACATTTAATATTCGCTCGGAATAATTCGATTTTCAATAGTAATTTATATGGCTTCAAGGAATTCCTAATATTGCTGTTTTGATGTTGTACGAAAGCGAATCTTGGGTTGTTATGGAAGTTCAGATTTGTTGAGTTTGTTATTCTCATAAAAAACTGGATGAAATCAGTTAATTTACTATTTATTTAACATTAGCTGAGCCGGCAATCACTCTTTTGCCGTATAAAGAATTTCGATCCAATTTGATTACGAAAAAAATTAACTTAAAAGATCATTCAAGAGGGATCATTCTTTCATTCATATTTTTTTACGCAGCATTATTGGTGGATATAGCTTGAAGCTATCCTATATAATGGTCTATCCAAGACATTTTTTTTTATACTCTTAACTAGTAGTTCCTGAGATTAGCGCGTTCATACAAACAAACAGATATAGATATTGTACAAAAGCTGATAATTAGGATTTATGCAAATCAGTCTAGCCGTTTTAGTTAAATTAAATTAGCTATGTTATATAGAATATAATGCTGCATTTGACGATAATTGAATTTTACACGTTTAAAACAGGTAATATGCGTAAATGAACGTTGGGACGTTGGGTCGTACTTAAGAATATGTTAACTAATACTAATAATACCTAGCTTAAAGTGTTTTATGTACCAAAGATTGTTAATAACATGTTGTTCTTTGTTCTAGACGATAGAATAATATCTGAAGGCAGTACGTTGAACATGACTCGTCTCTCTCGCCACGACGCTGGCGTCTACACCTGTGAAGCTGTTAACTCTCAGGGTGCTGCTGTCATCAATATCACCGTTTCTGTTCACTGTAAGTACTTAACGAACGAAGAAATATTTTAGCAGAACTATTATATAATTTGTTATGTGGACTTATATGTATAGACTTAATGTAGACACGAACATCACTTCGTCTTTTCCGCCTGTACTAAGTATATATCTCAGAATGTAATTATGCTTAAGTATACTTTAGTTAAAAAAAACACACTTTTTAGATTTATTTGACGACCATGGTCCAATATCGAAATTCAGTCCGGGCTCCGAACCACCGTTCACAGATCAAAACACCGTCAATATATTACGACTTCAGTCTGTAGATTTACGAATATCTCAAGCCCAGATACCTATCTGCGCGCTACCTATCTGTTAAATGGCTGGGGTATTTTAACCAGCTTTTTCCTAATAAGTAAACTGTAATGTTCTTCTTTTATGAATAAAATAGTAATCTATGCTCTATGTATTACATAATGCTTGTAAGAAAGGGTTACATATCACGATATTCGCGCTATCTCCCTTATTTGTAAAGCTCCCATCACGTGATTGAAGCGTTCTAAATCAAAATAGTCACATGTACACAACAAACATAGCATAACAAACGTAAATAACAAACAATTGCCTTGCTACAGACGCAGCGGAGATAAAATCAGTTTATCAGGACGGCGTTGCGAGCCCTAACGAAGATGCCGTGTTGGCCTGCGCGGCAACTGGTTTGTATTTCGCACTCTATTCCCTTTGTATTAAGGTCTCAATTTGTCCGATAACGGAAATATATTGTTAGAAATGTACAAAGGTCGCCTTTATACGCTTTTTTAGGGAACAATGATTTCATTGTTTTATGGGTAAATCTAGGATGGTTAATCAGACCACGTCTTTTATTGAAAGGAATTTCTTGAGACCGTACGACAGATAGACACTCATGCGTCTTCGTTATATGAGAACAGCACTCGTATGCCTGCCAGCCTACCAACGCCCTGCCTATTTAACTTTATTTGTAATTTGTTTCTATGCGATGGACGTATATAAAAAACTCGAAAATAGACAACGGGTCTATAGACTTCTTGAATCTTGACAATTCTTAATTAGTGTGATAAAAGTCAAACACGATGACGTATTATGACGTAGCTGAAGTGGTTAAAGCAACAGCAAGGAACGCTGTGGATGCCGCTTCAAGTCCTGCCCGAGACGTAAATTTTTTTCCCAATCTATAATCGATTTTTATTTTACATTTACTCTAATTTCATTACATTTTTATCACAGGTAACCCATTATCATCCGACCACATTCGCTGGGAGAGGCCCGGCTACGATATTTCAAGTCGAACTGTCACTTTTGACCCCCGAAATCAAACCAGCTTCCTGACTATTGACAAGTCGAGTCGAGAAGACGTAGGCGTTTTCACGTGCGTCGTAGATAACGGGATTGGTGGGGAGGATAGACAGGATGTGACGTTGGTTGTCAAGTTCAAGCCGGAAATGGACACGTCGCCGAGTTTGGTCAAATCGGCAAGCAACGTCGGTCAAGTTGGGCGGCTGACTTGCAAGTGAGTTTGTTTTTTGTGACATGCCACGATTAAACACATTTTAATAAAACTGTGTGAAGACTGTCTCCCCGTGACCACCGGCTGCTGCAAAGCATCCGAAACGTCGGGCCGAAGTTAAAAATCATTTTCAAATAAGTTTAACAAATATATCGCGTTTTAAATCGTTAAAATGTTTTATTTACATGCCATGATGTTTTTTTATAGTATTTCAAAACGGCAAAAATAATAGATGACGCTGAAAGTTTGAAAGAAACAGCTACGCCCTCTATTGGTTTTTGTTTCTGACGAATTCTTTTTATCGGATAGGAAACAAAAGGCTTATCGTGTGTCAGTAAGGATAAGCAATTAGAGTAGGTTTATTTAAGTTCTGGATTCCAAATTAGCAAATACAAAGATACTTTGTGATTGATCGGTAAAAAGGATTTAATTAAAATTAAGAAAATTAAGTTCTCTACCCTTACTTATTCTTTTACAACTCTCTTTAGGTGCAAATCCGCCCCCGCGCCTAACTTCACGTGGTCGAAGAACGGTGCCAAACTCCCCGTCAACACATCGACCAAATACTTTGCTGAATACCACAAAATCGACGCCATCACTTTCACGTCGGTGTTGCTGATCAACGATGTGTCGTCGGCCGATTACGGGTCGTACGAGTGTGGGTCCAGGAACGACCTGGGATTCAGTACTACATCTGTGAAGTTAGATGTCACTAGTTCACCAGGTAATTTTATGTAGTTACTTGTACAGACAGAACAGAATAAGTATTTTAAAGAAAATCAACTGCTTTTCATTTGTTATATATTACAACTTAATTAAATGAAATTTAGATTTTGCACTGTATGTACAGTAGATATTAACATCTTTTTTTTCCATAAAATTAGATCCCGTGACGTCAGTGGTAGTAACCAATGTAACCCACAACTCAGTCTCCCTGGAATGGGTTCCTGGATTCGACGGTGGTCTGTACACATGGTACAGAGTGCGATACCGGTAAGTACCTTTCAAATAATCCATTGTAAGGATCAAAATGCACAAGCAAAATAATTATAAACAAGCCCTTAAAGGACAAAGCAAAAAGTAAAAACCTTATTTCGATGACAAATAGCTGTAATAAAGCCTTTAATTTTGGCTACAAGGTGGCAATAATTCGGCCATTTATACAGGGTGACAGCTTAAAGTATCCTTTGAGGTGTTGCCGAATATAAAGTACACGGATGGTACAAGATTTAGAATTAAAACATGTTATTATAATCACTATTATATTAAACAACATTATGATGTTACATTAGAAGAAACATACAATTTTACTAATCCTACGAACATTATGTATATATATTTTTTTATAAAATATATCTTATATAAAATACTTTGTTTAACTTATGAATTAACGCATAATCTTAACATCTCCTGTAAGGAAAGTATTTAATAAAAAAAAAATTCATATCCCATAGGCGGGGTTTATACCGCTTATGTGGAGGGGGGTTTGTGTGACAACGCGGGGCGCCTCGTACCTACTATCGGGTCTAAATAATTTACTTATTTTACAGGAAAATTTACGACGAAACATATAAATACGAAGATGTGATCCCACGAAATGCAACATCATTTGCCGTTCACAATTTAGAGAGAAACACCGATTACGTATTTTCCGTTATGTCCATCAACAAAATGGGACAGAGCAAGTATCGTCCTGATGATACTAAAGCTACTACGCTAAGTGAGTATTCAGCCATTCGTGTCTACAAAATATACATAAGATTGATTGAACAATATAATCAAAAACAGCCATCTAAAGTAATTAACGTAGAACTTCCCTATAACCAAAGTCTGTCAAAAACTGTAAAAGACAGATACCTAAAAGTTCACATGTAATGTTGCAGTCTTTTACATCTCTATTGCCACAGAATATACCTAAATTTGTTGTTAATAAATACGACAACATAGAACAAAATATTTATTTAATGGCTTCTCCTATACCACATAAATAGTTTTTCTAGAACAACACGAGTATGGGTCGGACTTGATCATCAACCACTTTCTAATTCTAAGAAACAACAAAAAAAAAGCATTTTGTTGTACTTGGTATATCGGTTAATATTAATTCAAATTTGAAACCGAGCTGTTGTGTTTAGACTCGGCTTTGAATATCATTAAAGCGAATTATTCCTCGTGAAATCATCTCATAATATTAGGCTCCACGGGTAACATTATCGCGATCACTGAATACCCAATGAGATAGAAACTGAAGAACAATCTATTCCGTAGACGTAATACCGTCGTCGGTACAGTCGAGTTCAGAGGAGTACAGCTCGTACCACGTGCCCGGTGTTTTTATCATCACCGGGACGATCGTGGGCACGGCACTTATCTTGCTGAATGTACTGCTAGTCGGCTTCTGTCTCCACAGACGGACCAATAAGCGAATAAGAGGTTTGCACTGGATCTTCAGTAGCACCACCCTCACATCCACCATCCAGTTCATGTTGCACTTTTTTTTTTTTAATTTAGTCATTTTTTATTCTTTTAGCTTCATCAGAGCTAGGCGAGTTGAATGTAGTCTCGACAGAGTTTGTGGAAACCGCTGATGTCTCCAAATCCGTTGTAGTTTACGTTTCCATCACTGGAGTAGTTTTGATTTTGATAAATGCAGCTTTAGTAGCTTGTTTTATTTTCAAACGACGCTCGCGCCGACTGAAAGGTAAGTTTTGTCGATCGATGTCATTTGCTTTTCAAGCACGTAGCGAGTTGTGATGTTTTAGATTTTCATTAATAATGTTAAGTGGTAAATTGTTATCCTTTGTATCTAATTTAATTGTATTGCATAAAAGATTTTCATTTTATACAAATTGTTTTATAATACTCGAGAGATTATTTTCAATTTCATTTTTACATTTTTTTACCTTGACGGGCTCGTTGGTTTAATGGTAGAATGGCTAATAATCAACGGGTCGTGGGTTCGATCCCCATCGGGTCTATAACATGTTTCTAATGTTTCTGAAACATATTGGAATTCGTCTGGAAATTTGGATATTAAATGGGTGGTAGGATTATAGAAATTCCGTCCGGCTCACGTCCACTGATGATAAAGCCGTGAAATTTAATCAGAGGTTTCAATCTATGGATTTCTGAATATCCAAAGGCAAAACAGGTCGACATCGCATCTTGTTTAGATGCTACAGGCTGGGATATTTCACCTACCATCTAGTGAAACCTTTGCTTGTCTGTCCTCCTCTATCTAAAAAGGGCATGTCACACATTTGCGTTTTGTTATTAGAATTTAATATGTCGTGATATATTCCTAGAACAAGCCGGTCAGTCGTCGAAGTCCGCTACGATAGAAATGTACGCGCCCTCGTCCTACAACGACACAATGACCGGGGAAACACTCAGCTCCGTATCTGAAAAGTCGGAGACGTACTCGCAAGACGGGGATGGACAGCCCCCGCCCATACCAGAAGTGCCCAGCATGCCAAATCGGCACATGCTCAATCAGGTATGACGGAACTAGTACAACATATATCTATTTAAAAACACTTTAAAGGTTTGAAACGTGATATATATTGGCTAAAGTTATATATATATATATTATTAACGTTTCAGATTATTTTAACTAAGGCTTGACATTAATAAGTTTAACTAATATAAACCGTTAAAGTGTTTTATTTAAATGTGTAATACTCGCGTAAACTATAGACAGTGTTTAAGATATATCTATGTGAAATATCCATCTCGAAGGAGGCATTGTAGCTTTTAAAATTTCTCCCCAACAGTAAACAAAGTATATAGAACTAAAATAGATGTCTAATTTATACATTGGCATTATATTAGAACATTAAAGTTCTCATATGTTGCCACTTTTAACGGCTTAAAACGGTAATATATCAGTTTATTTATATTTAGCTGACCGGATAGTAGTTAAATGTACATTTTCTATTATCTTTTCGTTTTCAACCGTAAAGATTTTTATGTGTACCACCCGCGTAGATTACAGATAACATATACAATTACAATTTACACATTGTAACAACATATATATGCTTTGAAAAATGTGACTATCTATTGACAATTTTAATATTGCGCTACTTATATATAAAGAAAATATATACGTGGGCATTATATTATTGAATAGTAATAAATAAACTCAAAATATAATTTAGTTGCTTTTATCAATAGACGGACGCCTACCTAATGGACGACCAAGGTCTAATCCCCCCACCATTAGACTACCCCCCACCGAATTACGCAGTGTATGAGGGTGATCACGCGAGGACTTTGCCCCATCCACACAGGCATAAAGACATCAGTGGACATAGCACCTTGGGCAGAAGTGCAGGTATGTTTCATGAATTGTAAGTATTTGTATAAAAAAAAAATTAACAGTTTAAAACGCGAATTGTATTCAAGTTATTTAAAATTTATTTTAATAACGGCCCTAAGCAAACTAGCTAATTGATCTAATACATTTTACGTTTTAAACCATCAAACGTGTTTTATTTGTATATGTACTTCTCGCGTACATTACAGACATTACTTGTGTGAAATCCCGTTTCCCCTCGTGGGGCATGGGGTGAACACATTTCTGTGTCCGTTTCACTGATCCGTTCTTTTTAACAGGCAAGTAGTTGATCAGACTTCTGTGCCCTGCCAGACCGAAACAATTTTATATTTCCCTGGTCTTTGAGCCCAGTACCTCTCGCGCTTAACGCAATGCTAGGCAATACGTTTAACCGTTTGGCTACCGAGGCGGTCAGACAGGCATTACTTAGTTGTAATTATTATCAGCCAACATGAACTAGTGAAGGTTTTTACAAATTCGATTGTTTGTGGGTAACTACACTTAGTACAACATCCTGAAATGAAGTATTGAAATTATTAACTTAACTCTAAGTAACAGTACGTCAATTTTAAAGGCCCTGTATACAAGAAGCCACCGTAGATTAAAATAAATCAATAATCAAATAAATCCTAAATAAAAACTTAGTAAAGTTTACTTTAAAAGCTCTGTTTCCAATATAATTAGTCTAACAGAAGATTTTTATCACCAGGCAAGCAGAACTACGTGCCGGCTCCGAGCCCAATGCCTCCACTAGATGGCTCATATTACAATATGTCGTCTGATAGGTATCTGTCCTATCCGCCGTTGATCGGAGAATATTTGCAGCAGGTCGGTTTAAATTGCTGCTATACATTTTAAGAATAAGTAATTGTGTGTGTGTGTAAATTGTCTATCTTTATTCTTCTTCTTCTTCTATTCGTATCGTCTAGTATTTATATTTTCATTTATCGTCTCATAAATCTATTTCCTACCAGGCTTAATTTTACTTAAATTTGTACGTATTAAAAATAAAGGATAAAGCGACTGAAAGTCAAAGTGTCTTGTAATTAAATTAAAACTGATTAAAAATCTAAATATATTACGACACGACCACGTTTTGAACCGGCATCCACAGCTTTCCGTGCTGTTTCTCTAAGAAATTCAGCCACTGTGCCCGTTCCGTGTCGTTCGTTCAATAACATGTGAAAAATATAAAAGTTTTCAAGTGTCTTGCATTTGTTTGTTAGCAGCAACAGGCTGGCCGCACACCCACGCCTCCTCAACAGTACGGGGCGCAGCCAATACCAAACACTCCGAGTGGTATACCGTCACCTTCGCATCTAGCTAGTCCACCGATGAACTACAGTGATGGTGAGTACTTATGCAATTAAAATCCACACGAAAATCATTTGACAGTCTCGGCGGTCTAATGGTAGTAATGAATAGCTTTATAACCAACGGGTCGTGAATTCGATCCCTGCCTAACATTTTGTTAAACCATTTATTATTTTACCGAAACATGTTTGACTTCGTCTAGAAAACTGGATATTAACTGGATGATATATCGAAATTCCGTCCAGGTCCACAAATGAAAAACTGACAAGTTTTTCGCTTTCAGTTGTTTCGATCTTCGAATATCCAAAGCCGAATTAGGTCGATAACACATTTGTTTTGGTGTTATATGGCTGGGGTATTTACCTACCGTCAACTAAACTTTGTGCACGTCAGTTTCAGTCTGTGGATTTCCCAATATCCAAAGCCGAAATAGGTCGACGACACATCTTGTTTTGGTGTTATATTACTGGGGTTATTTACCTTTCATCAAGTGTCTTTTGTCCTCTATTATAAAAAATACTAACAAATTCTTTTCGTCAGCAATGGATCGTCAGTCAACTGGTGGTACGTTGAGGAGACAAAGGTTTGACAAAATGGCGGTACCACCACCTGACGTCACCGTACTACATCCAGGGAACTGTACACAGGTTGGTTACGTTAAAACAATATCTATACTAATATAAAGCCGAAGAGTTTGTTTGTTTGAACGTGCTAATCTCATGACCTACTAGTTCAAATTGAAAATACGAATTTTGAATCTCTTTGTATTGGTTAGAGCATTATTCGACGAAGGCTATAAAACTTCGCGACTTATAGGACTGAAGGAACAGCGGGAAATGTGGAAAAATACGGGAAATATTAGTTACCTTTGAGGGTTAAAGATACGCAAAAATATGTATGAAAGAATGAATCCTCTATAAATGATCTAAAAATGTCTGAGTCAGTATATATCTATCTTTTAGATTAACTTGCAAGAACGACAGGACGACGTCGTGGCTAACAGCCTAATATTATAGGTTTGCAAAAACAAATTTTGACATAGCTAGTTCATAGTACACTGTAATTTTAACACTCCTTACATGATACCAGGCTTACAGAACTAATGAAGAGTAGAATATACCGAACGAGGTCCATTCCGGGTCGTTGAACTATGAAAAATTTCATTATTCACTGAAAAAAATAATTGAAAAACCGCTTAACAATAATAAACATATCGAAAGATTTTCAGCTCTTCGCATTGCATTTCGATATTATGACGGTATCTCAAAATAATAACTGTTGGCGACCTTACCTCACGTAAAATAAGTAGTTTGATTAATTAATGTTTTATTCGAGAAATTTGGTATTACACAACACGTGAGGTCCACATATATAGCTATCTTTGTCACACAAATATGCCTATCTTTCTCACAAACTATTTTATCTGTCTTTGTTGCACACATATGACTATCTCACTCGCACAGGGTATTTACGTGTTTTGTAATTAATTTAATTATTTCTAATCGTAAATTGTAAATATTATGTATGTCAAAATAAGTGTTTTAGGATAGATTTTGTTATAGTATATTGATATGTCCTAAAATAATTAAGCTTAATGTGTAAAATTGCGTCTTTAGTGTAAGTTTATATGACAAAGTTATTTCTTGATATTTCTTGTTTGTATGTCATATAATAATTATTTTAACTGTTATAATAGCTTAATATTGATAAAACGAATCGTTTTATAAAAGTTTACAGTTTATAAATGTTAAAGTTTACGAAATAGCAAATCGAAAATTGACGAACTTTTTGTTAGAAACTTGAATATCTCATTGGAGATTAAAACTTTTGAAATGTATTTTATATAGTCAAATAGAGAATTTTGTAAGGTTTAATTCCATGTAAAAATTGTAAAAATCGCATAAATGGATAAATAAATACAAGCTTCCAAAGTGCTTCGCGATAGTAAAAATTGGCGGGAAATTACACGAAATCGCACACGCTTCGCGGACATCTCGTCGCGGTATAGTTCGCGCTACTTAAGCTCGCAAAGGTCCCGAAGCAAAACATGTCACAACGAGCAATAAGGAAGAAGCACTTTGGAAGAATAATAAGAAGAAAAAGGGATTTTATTTGAAGAGACCCTCTAACGAAATACGTCCAAGTGTTTCTAATAACGATATACGTCTTGTTTCTCTCAACGATATACGTCAGTGAGAGGGGTAACTGGCTCAGTACATACGCACAGCAGGGTGCGTGGGTCGGGTGGTACCAGCGTGACATATCGAGCCAGCCGACAACCCCGGAGATCCCGTTGACGGGCCGAAACCCTCTGCGGGACCCCTCCACAATTTTTGGTCCTTCGAGCCGGATCCTGCATTCAAGATGCCAGTTACCCGATCACAGAAGGAGTACAAACCAGCCGATGTGACATCACCTACGAGCGCTGCCACGAGTGCCACGCACGACACCACGTCAGGGACTACGGTTACCACAGAGGCCGAGAAGACGACGGTGTCCACGGAAGCCACAACAGCGAGCCAGCCAGGTCACACCATGACCCTGGTACCCGAGGGTTCTACCCGGCGAGCTGGAACAGCTGCGAGGTCTCGAGCCAGCACAAACAGGCGGAGACTCGAGGCCAAAGAAGAGTTGGCACGATTTGAGCTCGAAGAAATACAGGCAAGGGCACGCCTCGAGCTTGAACAAATACAGGCAAGAGCACGCCTTGAAATTGAAGAAATGCAGGCAAGAGCGCGCCTGTTACGAATCCGTTTAGAAATAACGGAAGAAGATGAAGAAGACTCTATTGCCGAAAATGAAGAAGCCTTCCAGGAACGAGACCGCAACATCCGGAGCTGGATGGAAGCTGCTGCCGCCGAGCCACCACTGCTACCTGGAGCCGCTGCCGAGGAGCCTGCAACTGCTGGACCTGCTACTGCGGGAATGGCCGCTGCTGGAGCTGTTGCCATCGGGCCTACCACTGCTATTGCTGCCGGACCTGCCGCTGCTGCTGCAGCCGGTACCGTTGGTCCTGCGGCCGTGAAGAAAGAAGCATCAGCCGAGGTTCAACTCATCGCAGAGGCGCTACGAGAAGCATTGTCTCACAACGCGACGATGACTACGCAGCCGAGATATATTCAGGAGCTTCCAGTCTTTGAAGGAGATAGCACCGAATGGACGGCATTTCAGGTCGTATATGATAATACAGCTTCTCTATTTTCACCAGTTCACAATATGGCAAGACTTCGGAATGCGATCAAAGGGGAAGCCAGGGAAAGTTGCAAGAGTCTTCTATACTCCAGTATGAAGCCCGAAGATGTTATGGAAGCACTACGTCGGCGCTACGGGCGGCCCGACCTACTAGTGATGGCTGAAGTGAAGAAATTGGAGAGCATACCTCCGATTGGGCATAGCCCGAGGGAGCTCTGTAACTTCGCCAACAGTATCAGCAATAGTGTCGCGGCGATCAAGAGTTTGAACAGACCCCAGTTCCTGCATGCACCAGCGGCAGTGAACTCAATAGTTGAGAAGATACCACACGGCTTGAGGTATCGGTGGTATGAATATGCATCGACGTATCCAGAGGAAGCAAAGTATAATGTGGAATTGGTGAGTGCTTTTCTCAATTTAGAAGCAGATAGGTGTAGCGCGTTTGCAGGAGCTGTGGAGCATAAGCCGCAACATCCGGGCGCGACTGCGAGAAAACCACAGAGATACACCACGAACAACGAGACGCGGGTCGCCGAAACCATGAAATGTCCAAGGTGCGAGGGCAACCACCGATTACCTGAATGTCCTACATTTTTGAAAATGAGCGTCAGTGACAGATGGGATGCCGTAAAGAAGGTGAAGGTATGCTTTAAATGTCTGTCATTAAAACACCGCAAGGAAAATTGTAGGAAGCCGCCATGTAAGACATGTAAGAGATGGCATCATGATTTGTTGCATGTATTTAAAGAAATAGAACAATCCGCAGAATCCGTCAACACAATGAGAAATTCCAGAGCACTGCTTAAGATGATCCAGGTCGAAGTATGTGGGCCCAAAGGCAACAAGAAGGTAATGGCTTTGCTGGACGAAGGCTCAACGGTGACACTTCTGCACGAGAAGATCGCAGACGCGATCGGAGCCAGGGGATCTCAGGAAGAACTGACCGTCGATACAGTGGGCGGTGGGCAATTACAACATCAGAAGTCCATGAAGATTGACCTGGAACTGCGAGGTATTAAACAACATAGCAGAGGTAAGCTCAAAGAAGTACGGACTGTGAAGGAATTGAACCTGACGCCTCAACACCTTGACAAAAGACGTTTGAAGAGATACAAGCATCTATCTAAAATCATTGATGATGTATATTACGAGGCGGAGAAACCTATGCTACTTATCGGTCAGGATAATTGGGAGTACATAGTGTCCTTACAGGTGCGCAGGGGGAAAAGAGGACAGCCGGTCGCGTCCAGAACTAGACTCGGCTGGGTCCTGCACGGCAACGACAGCAACCACATGTCCCCAGGAAATTATGTGAACACTTGCGCTCACCTGAACACCGTCGAGGAAGAGCTTGATCACCTGGTAAAGGAGCACTTCACGATAGAATCTCTTGGAATACATCCGAAAAGACCAAGTACGGATATGGAAGAGCAAGCCACAAGGATACTGCATGAAACTAGTAGGCGTTTAGAAAATGGAAGATTTGAGGTTGGTCTCCTGTGGAAGCAAGACAACATGCAATTGCCAAACAACTACGAAACTGCTTTGAACAGGTTCAAGGGGATTGAAAAGAAACTGCGTAAAGACAGTGTAATGAAAAAGGAGTACAGTTCGCAGATAGAAAATTTGCTGCACTGCCAGTATGCTGAAGAGGCGCCTGCTGACTGTAATTCATCGAAGAAATGGTTCCTGCCACATTTTGCTGTTCAACATCCCCTGAAGAAGAAGTTGAGGATCGTCTTCGACGCGGCGGCGAAGACAGCTGGATGTAGCCTTAATGACGCACTGCTACCCGGCCCAGATCTACTCCAGTCATTGTTTGGAGTGTTGCTGCGTTTCAGGGAGGGTCCAGTTGCAATAGCAGCAGACATCAAAGAAATGTTCCTACAGGTGAAGATTAGAGAAGAGGACCGAGATAGTCTACGATTCCTGTGGCGGGACAATGAGAAGGCCCCAGTGAAAGAATATAGAATGACTTCAGTAATATTCGGAGCCGCTTCTTTACCGTGTACAGCAATTTATGTAAAGAATAAGAACGCACAAGAATATCAAGAGGAATTTCCCGAAGCAGCGCGGGCAATAGAAAGAAATCATTACATGGATGATTATCTCCAGAGTTTTCACAGCATAGAGGACTGCAAGCGAGTTAGCCGTGAAGTGGACGCTGTACATAAGAAGGCGTGCTTCGAGCTACGTGGTTGGGCGTCGAATAAAATTGAAACAATAAATTCCGAGGGCGCTGAAGAAGTAGATCTAGGCGACAGCGAGGAAAAGACCCTAGGTTTACGATGGTTAACGCGTAGCGACGAAATTGCATTTAGGAATCAATTCAGAAGAATTCCTGATGAAGTAGCAAGTGGTGTGAAGACCCCGACGAAAAGAGAAGTCACCGGAGCGGTTATGTCCACCTTCGACCCGTTGGGTCTTATTTCACCCATCCTCATTCAAGGAAAGAAGCTGATCCAGCACGTTTGGCGGAGCGGCAACAGATGGGTCGAGAAGAACACACAAAAGGACTTCACCCGATACAAGACGCAATTGGAAGACAAAAGAAGATTGAAGACATCCGGTTGGCTCGGTGCATATCACCAACATGCACCGAAGGGGAGCTTTACACATTCACGGACGCCAGTGAGACAGCCTACACCGCAGTGGTTATGGGGAACGAGCCACACAAGCAGACAAGGCAGAAGAAGAGGCGCAGACTTACTTCGTCATCGGAAGGTCTCGTGGAGCGGCGCTGATTGGCAGCTTCGCGGAAATGAAAAGGGTTGGCAAAGACAGTTGGAAGATGGTGCAACTACTGGCACAGCACTTATGGAGAAGATGGCTGCGGAAGAATATGAACAAGGCGCCGGGCGACAACCTGAGGTGGAAGGCGCGGTCCTCATTGCCGACCGCACTCTCCCTCAATGCAAATGGCCACGAGGGCAGAGACGGATCCAGAACCCGACGGAAGAACACGAGTCATCGACAAGACAACGCGAGGCGAGACATCAACCGTCATCGCGCATCGTGCTCCTGGTTCCCGCCACCGAGTCGCCGCCCAGAAGTATGGTGCGTTACCGCACGAAGGGGAGAATGTTGGCGACCTTACCTCACGTAAAATAAGTAGTTTGATTAATTAATGTTTTATTCGAGAAATTTGGTATTACACAACACGTGAGGTCCACATATATAGCTATCTTTGTCACACAAATATGCCTATCTTTCTCACAAACTATTTTATCTGTCTTTGTTGCACACATATGACTATCTCACTCGCACAGGGTATTTACGTGTTTTGTAATTAATTTAATTATTTCTAATCGTAAATTGTAAATATTATGTATGTCAAAATAAGTGTTTTAGGATAGATTTTGTTATAGTATATTGATATGTCCTAAAATAATTAAGCTTAATGTGTAAAATTGCGTCTTTAGTGTAAGTTTATATGACAAAGTTATTTCTTGATATTTCTTGTTTGTATGTCATATAATAATTATTTTAACTGTTATAATAGCTTAATATTGATAAAACGAATCGTTTTATAAAAGTTTACAGTTTATAAATGTTAAAGTTTACGAAATAGCAAATCGAAAATTGACGAACTTTTTGTTAGAAACTTGAATATCTCATTGGAGATTAAAACTTTTGAAATGTATTTTATATAGTCAAATAGAGAATTTTGTAAGGTTTAATTCCATGTAAAAATTGTAAAAATCGCATAAATGGATAAATAAATACAAGCTTCCAAAGTGCTTCGCGATAGTAAAAATTGGCGGGAAATTACACGAAATCGCACACGCTTCGCGGACATCTCGTCGCGGTATAGTTCGCGCTACTTAAGCTCGCAAAGGTCCCGAAGCAAAACATGTCACAACGAGCAATAAGGAAGAAGCACTTTGGAAGAATAATAAGAAGAAAAAGGGATTTTATTTGAAGAGACCCTCTAACGAAATACGTCCAAGTGTTTCTAATAACGATATACGTCTTGTTTCTCTCAACGATATACGTCAGTGAGAGGGGTAACTGGCTCAGTACATACGCACAGCAGGGTGCGTGGGTCGGGTGGTACCAGCGTGACATATCGAGCCAGCCGACAACCCCGGAGATCCCGTTGACGGGCCGAAACCCTCTGCGGGACCCCTCCACAATAACATTGTAAGAATAATTGCGTTCTCGGAAAATCTATTTACCGATACGAGGAAAATAGTTCGATCAATAATTCTTGATTGTATCAGAACTTGGGAAAATACTTTTAGGATGTAATATTTTTTCATTGCGTTTGAACTGTTCTAATAAGCGAAAATAGATATTACTAACTACTAGGGAAATTAAGTAAAAAACTTAATTCAATTAGGCTACCGTGTCACAGCTGTGTGTTTGGTAAGAGCAGCAGCACGGATCGCTGTGAATGCCAGTTCGAGTCCTACCCGTGTCGTCAAAATTTTCAATCTAAATTGATTTTATAATGCCATGCAATAACATGTGAAAAAGGACAGTTTGCAACTATTTAAATAAACACTTTTAACGGTTTAAAACGAAAAATGTAAAATAATATTTAAACCTTACAAATTATTTTTACAAAGGCCCGACGATTCAACTGTCCAGTTTTCATTACCTATAGTTTCTCTATCATCTACATCATTTCCATACAAAAACTCGCAGGTTTTATATCACTGATTTATTCCGGTTTTAGTTCGCCACTCGTTTGCATAAGTATATTATGAAGAAAAGCGCAAAAACATACGCAACGCTAAAACACCGGACTAAATTATGTAAAATAAGACGGAAAGAGCGACTGCTTTTATATGCTCTAATTTAGGGATTTTAAAGTGCCTTTGCGCAGTGTGCTATTTTATACTCAGTCGTTGTACATCGCCGGTCTTGTCTAATGTCTAATCTTATAAATGACTTTACACATGCGCTATGTTGGTATACACACACTCTCTCTAAGCTTTAACACTACTCGCATTTTTGTAAATTTGATCTAAAAACGAAAACTTTTAATTGTCTTTCTGATGTCTATTTTGTAGACTATCGTATTGTACTATTTGTAAGGTTTCCATATGTGAATAATAAATACACAAGATTTGAGAAATGTCATAATTAACTTTTGATCGACAAATAATTTACGACACGGGTTGGCTACCAACGGCCTTAGCGTTCCCTGTTGCTCTACCATTCAGCTACTAAGCTACAACGTCAAAATCATTGACGTTGGACCTCAATACCTCTTATACAAGGTTTTACATTTACTTATATCATGGTCCTTCATCAGCAGTTAAAATGTAAAAGTGTAATTATTCAAGTGTTACCTCTTTTACTACTTCTTCGTCTACCTTGAACACCATTATAACGGTTTATTTTCTTCCAGCACATACCAATGAACCAAACGCCATCCGTGAAGCAGCCGCAGTCGATACTGAAGGACCCTTCGCGGCACAAATACGGCTACGGCAGCCCGATCTCATCCAGCACGCCCCAGAATACAAGTCAAATCCTCACCGTGCAAAATCTCACCTCTGACGTACCGCAGTACGGGACAATTAAAAAAGAAAAGAAACAAAACGTCACTATCGACGAATCGTACAACAAGCGCAGTGAAACGCACGTAGTGTAAAGTGACTTTGTGCAAGTGTTAATTGTAAATAAAAACTAGTTACAATTTTAGATAGACATTAATTCATTTGTGATACCAGTGAGCAAAGTTGTCCGCGGTATTCATAAGCTCTCGAAATTTCGGAGCGCGATGAAGGCTACTCAGCGCCGGCCCGTATGTGCGGGCGACTTGAAAGGCTGTATCTCTCGATTCTCAAGCTGCAAGACATCATCGAAGTAGCCTTTATCTAGATTATTTGACTGACTTATCATTGTGCGTTAGTACGTCCAAAATGTTAGGAATTACAATCAATTGTTATATGCAATTATTTTTAATGTTGTAATACGAAAATCGTTTGCCGATTCTAAATGATTCCCTCGAAGGATCTCTTTAACTTTTAGAATAGATTGTTACTGATTTCGATTATATTTTAGGAAATTTATGGGGCAAAATTTTAAATTTTCTCCCGAGGTTCAAGTTTGTTTCGGAGGCCGTAGATTGTTCAAAGCTGCATTTATAGCGTTTAAGCGGTAACACATTAATTCAAGTCATCGAGACTTAGTATTTTACAAACATCCTTGTGTAATTTATACGCAGTTAACCTCTTTACTTTCTGTAAATAAAGATACTCAAATCGCGAACTGACAATAATAATAAGTTTTTAAAGTTTTAATTTATACTCAGCTTTCGATTATTTGTAAATATATCATAATTATATAATTAATTTCTTAGCCTTTTCATTACAAAATTAATCGGATAATACAGATACCAAAGTTTTGTTAATTTAAACCTTACTTTAAGTTCTTATTTCGATTGTTTGCCTCTTTAGTTGGTTAGGGCAAGTTGCAAACGAATAAACAAAAAATGGTAATGTAACATAATTTAATTGTTATTGGAGATATCTGGAATCCATCCAATGACAAATACGAATATTTATAAAGCGTTACATTTCGAATTTAAATAAAACGATCTAATTGTATTTTTTATTTTGTTTTATTTGTTTTTTTTCTCCTCATCCCTTCCTTTAAATCTAATTGTAAAAACATATCAAGTGGTAATTGATTTGATTCGTGTGAGTGTCATTTTAATTGACTAGCTGTACCTTTTGTGTAAAGTGCCAAAGTTTGTTGATTGTCTCATATATTTTTTGCTGACCTTACTTGTGTAGTACTGTAGCCGTGTTAATGTTATACGTCCTTCTATATTAACATAAACATAAAATTTAGTCAAGTACTCGAACCGTGCCTTATAATTTTACGCCATTTTGAGGATAAAATAACTTAAGGTATTGCCAAATCTATCTATACTAATAAAAACGAATATTTCTTTAGGGAATAAGGCTAGATTTTTTTAGTAGCTAGTACTTAGTGTACCACGAAAATGGATAGTTTTGCGATCGCAAAACAACAAAGAAAAAAACTAATTATTATTAATTTGTATTCAACATATTTAACGGTTTGAAACACCTTATTTAAACGAGAGGTTTCAGATGCATCGTAGTAATCGTCTGCTAAACTATATTTCACAATTAAATCGTGCGGTGGGTTTTATTTTTACTACTAGCGCACACTACGGATGCCTAAAAATAATATACAAGTCTACACTTTCTACTTGATCATTAGAACAGGTATATAAAGTGTAAAAAAAAAAAACATTTTCGAGGTACACCTAAATGCAGTAGATACCTAAAATAAAATTCCATATGAATTTCAATGCCTACGTTCTCTAATTTATGTTTTAGGTATCTCCCCCTTATACTAAATTTTGATACTTTTCAATTCATAGTCGTAATGTCATGAAAATTAATTTGCATACATCAAGTATGTGTAAGGGCGGATACACACTTAGCGGTAAACCGCTCAAATAATCTCAAAGTTTGTGCGGTGGCCGCATGTCTGTATTTATGCGTCACTCTACATAATTTTTTTTGATTGCACTATGCGGTTAACCGCTTCGTGTGTATAGACCCTAAGATGAATGTTTTCAATTCAAGAGCTTGTCATTTAGGATAAGACGAGGGCACTAGTGAATTTTAACTTGGCTCTTTGTTTTACAATATATTTAAAAGTGTACTACTCGCGTAACTACTATAGCTAACGCGAGTAGTACACATTTAAATAAAACACTAACCGTTTAACGCCATATATGTTAAACTTGTTTGAATATTATTATAATAGTCGTGGTCTCCCCGTGACCACGACTGCTGCAAAGCATCCGAAACGTCAGGCCGTATTTAAAATCATTTTCAAACACATTTAACTAATATATATCGCGTTTTAAACCGTTAAAGTGTTTTATTTAAATTAAATAGTACTACTACTTCGTAGGTCTGGTCTGTAAATACGTAACAATAATTATTTGTGATTTTCAAAATTCACTAGTGTACCTCAAACAATCGAATGTTCAAAATATACTGTCAATATTTCTTAAATCAAATTAGGTAGGCGGTAATAAATTTAAACGATAATTCATTGAATACGTAATTTTAGTAAAGTGATTTTGATTCCCCAAATGTTTAGTTGCAAATTAAATGAATTTGCTATTGATTTGTTAACTCAGGTGCTCATTGATGTTATCAACGTTCTCGTCCTAATTGTTATCTAAATATTTTAGTTTTATAAGTGATGCGTTGGTATCATCAATCGAACTCATTGTAAATTGTACTCTCATTGTAAGGAATAAGGTTGTAAATTGTTCGATAATTCCAAATGTGACTTTGATATTACGTACAGCTCATGTGTAATCAGCATTGGATTAAAACATATATGTTAATGTATGTTTCATTGCCTCTCTAGGTTCCCAACCGAATTCTGCAAAGGATCTTGTAAACAGTGGCGTAGTGCACCAGGGCCCCGGAACTTAGGGGCCCTCTAACCTTATCTTTGACAAGATATAAACGTAGAAGAAAAGGATTTTTTAACGTTCTTGTTGCTATTTATAATTTTGGAAGTTCATTTAATTCAAGCTTTGCTAAAAGAGGGGTTGAGTTCCCGATTCTTTCTTAGGTTAGGTAGACCGGGGCCGTTGTCCACCTAACAACGCTACTGCTTGTAAATAGATAATTAACATAAGTATCCAACCAAAACACAATACAAGTACAAACTTTTAATTAATTACTAATTAATACTGCTTTAATAAAATATGTCTATTTGTATTTAGTCGATCGAAATATCTAGTGATATTAATTAAATTAAGGAACTCATGCTTGCTCGTTATTCGACATCAACTGACAAGGACGAATAGTTTTTACAGCTGTAGATTGCATGTCATAAAGCATAGACTATAATATGATACTTCTAAAATAAAACATTTTTGACGATGTTAAATACGAATTATATTAGTTATTTATATTCAACACTTAGGATAATCAGCAGCTGTGCTTACAAGGGACAACGTTTTTCAATTCCATTGTCTGGATCTGAAAACATGCAATGTACAAAGAAAACCAACATAGTAACACAACGGAATGACTTATACAGTATTCATCGTTATAAACATACAAATGTTAAATTTCATTAATATTTAACGTAACAGACGAATAGCGAATATCAAAAGTCCCATTTCAAGTTTGCTCAAGCAAACTATGTTCTTTGTTTGTCGACGCTTTCAAAAATACTTTAATGTCGTATATCTGTGCGATGGTGTAGCTAAAACTAAATAACTGTGACAAGTAAAAATAAATTTGGCCAAGTGGGGGCCAGATTCGTCTGTGCAAGGTTGATATTTATCTGACAATAACAAATATTTAACTAAACACTTAGTTAGTAATCAAAACCAATAGAAGCTTTCTTCAGAAATTTTAAAAAGCATTGAAATAGTTTTAATCAATACAAAACATCTTACCAAAATTACCAATTCAGTACATTACATTGTTTATGATAAATGAGGACATACAACCATGGGGTCCACTGAAGAAAAGGTGAAATACGCCATTAATATAACATCTAAACAAGATGCGACCTAATTTGGCTTTGGATATTCGGAAATCCACAGACTGAAACTGAAATGCGATAAAGCTTCACTGTTTCCTCATCTGTGGACAGTGGTTCGTGACCCGGACGGAATTTCTATATTCCACACCCTTTTAATATCCAGATTTTCAGACAAAGTCCAACATGTTTCAGTTAAAAGTAAAAACATATAAATAAAACACTTTAACGGTTTAAAACGCGATATGTTAGTTAAACTTATTTGAAAATGATTTTTAATACAATAAACAGCATACCAGCAAACGCGAAGACACCGGCCAGTTTCGCCAAATACCAACTTCGACGGAACAGATGGCGCTAGCGTAGCAATTTTTTACTTTGACGTCAGAGAAATCCTCCATCTTTAGTCTCCCCGTGACCACGGCTGCTGCAAAGCATCCTAAATGTCGTGCCGAAGTTAAAAGTCATTTTCAAATAAGTTTAACTAATATATCGCGTTTTAAACCGTTAAACCCACGACCCGTTGATTATTAGCCCTACATTGCTAACATTAGGCCAACAATCCTGTCAAAGTATGTTTATTATATTGAACTAGCGCAAACATTAGCAATACTTAATACTGTCTTATAGTTTACGCGAGTAGTACACATTTAAATAAAACAGTTTAACGGTTTAAAACGCGATATATTAGTTAAACTTATTTGAAAATTATTTTTTACTTCGGCCCGACGTTTCGGATGCTTTGCAGCAGCCGTGGTCACGCGGAGACTGTAGGTAGGGTAGTCTCCCCTTTTTTATAAGCAATACTTTTTAAAATTTTATGGGACTACTAAATATTCGTCTCTACTTGGACATCAAACCCTGGCTTGCCGGCACTTATACGTCAGGGACAAGGATCCTACTTATATAATTATACTAGCGACCCGCCCCGGCTTCGCTCGGGTGCAAAGCTGATACTAAATACACAGAATAACGTGAGCCTTGCATATAAAAACTTTTCTCTTGAATCACTCTGTCTATTAAAAAAATAACTGCATTAAAATCCGTTCCGTAGTTTTAAAGATTTTAGCAAACGTAAGGACAGAAAACCGA